AAAGTTATATAGGTCAACAAAAAAACAACACTTGCCTGAAACACCAAATTTTTACGTTTTTAGGCCTGTAATTATTTCTGTGACTTAGCAACAGTAGTGGCCAAATGAGATGCCTGGAGGGGATATTTGCACAATTTGCTTTTAATGACACTTCAGGGTTAAACAATCAAAATATGAAGAGTGCGTTATGTTGGGAAGAGGAATACACTTAACTTGGTCAAGGTGTTAAAATCACAAAATTATTTGGCCATAAAGACAAACTCCAGCATATTATGTATGGGTTTTATTGTATTATGCAAAAAAGGCATAGAAAAACAAAAAGCTCACAGGAAATAAGCGTACGTTGACTACAATGTAATCGGTCATTAATATTTTGTTGGTTCTCCCTTGTTTTTGATTACAGCAGCCATTTTCCATGGCATTGACTCACTCAAAGTAGTGCATGTGTTATGCTTAACTTCTTTCCAATCCGCCTTCAAAGGATAGTTCACCCAAAAATGAAAATTCTGTCATCATTTAGTTACCGTCAAGTTGTTCCAAACTTGTATGAATTCTTTCTTCTGCTGAACACAAAAGAAGATATTTTGAAGAATGTCGGTAATCAAGCAGTTGATGGACCCCATTGACTTCTATAGTATGGAAAAAGAAATCAATGGGGTCCCATCAACTGTTTGGTTCCCGACATTCTTTAAAATATCTTCTTTTGTGTTCAGTTTATACAGGTTTGTAACAGCTTGAGGGTGAAGTTCTTCCCAAAGATGAGCTTCATTGGAAGACCTGCATGACTTATCACAATTCAGGTTTATAATTTCCCAAAGGTTTCCAATGACTTTAAGGTCAGGGCCACTTCAAGACTTCAAAATGCTGAGCATAAACACTTTCATTGCACACAACTTGTTGTTTGCGCGGTGTGTTTTGGATCGTTATCATGTTGGGAAAAATACACATTTGATCTCCAAACAGATCGTCCTTACTTGGCTACATTGTGTTCTGCAGGATTCCCAAGTATTGGTTCGTTTTCAAAGTGCCAGTAACTTTGTAGATCCTTCCTACACCTGCTGCAGACATGCGTCCCCGATACCATTATGTTTGCCCTGCAGTGCTTAATGGCGCCACGTATGCTTTTGGTATTAATTAAAACAATCCATTCATCTCCTACTAACATACCTGACACCATCCAATGCTAGATGGTTAAATATTGACTTGTTGGGACTGCAGAACATGGCACCAATCTTTCATGCTCCAATCCTTATGTTCTTTGGCAAATGCAAGGTGTTTTTTCCAGTAGATAAAACTAATAAATGGTTTCTTGAAATTGGAGAATGGAGGTCCCAGCCAGGTCTTTAGAAGCTGTTTTGAGGTGGTCCCGTATTCAGGTGATTTTCATCCTTCTGTTTGCTTATTAATTGCTTAATAAATGCTTCACTATAAATGGTCTCACTGTGCTTTGAAGTAATTCTGTGGATATTGTGTCCATTCACATCCAGCACATGAGCAATATCCAAAACCAATTGACCAGATTTAGTAATTTGAACAAAATCCTCCCTGGTTGCAGAGGACTGCTTCTTCCATCTGGCCAGTTTCACTAAAACCCACAAAATAACATCTAATAATATAGCTAATACTTGCCACATTGTGACAGTGATTTATTGAATTATAGGCTGGGAATAATGAGTGCAAGATTGGTATGACCACTTGTCCAAGAATGACGTCAACACAATTCAATGTTTTATTGCATGACAAAATTATACAATAGAAATGTGGAAGTCATACTTTAGTTTTAAACTCCAGGCACAACTTCACGACATGCATACAAAATATTGAATACATATTTAATAATAACTTTAAATAAAGTGTGAAGCAGCCAATTTTCTTAGGTGGAACATCAGTTTTGGCTACTACTGTACATCACAATTTTATACATTTGTATAATGTCTGCCTTCTGGCTGCTTTGGTCTGTCCTCAAAAAACAGTTGGCTAAGTGATTTTGCTATGTTGAAGAGACGATGTTTTTTTTTTCTTAAGGGTAAAAAACATTGTATGGACCAATCCTGATGCTAAAGTTACCATAGATATATAATACTGTTTATAGCTGCTCATAAAACCTCGGGAGCTGAAACTCAATATGAAAGGTCTAAGCAGTTGACCAATCACATCAGACTGGGCCAGGTGGGCTTTTTGGAAAGGCGGGCTTTAAACATACAGGAACTATAACAGTGTTTCAGGCAGAGGGTGCATGTACAGTATGAGAAACCACCCATGAGAAACGGATCAGTGAAAACAAAACTCACGTGGAACGTAACAATCATAAAAAAAAAAGAATTCTGATATTGTGAATGAGCATATTATGGGCACTTTAAAATCTCGCAGGCTGTCAACATGGCGTCAAGAAAACTCCACAATGATCTGGATATTTGTTTTTAACCGTGGTCTCATCGTAACTCGTTCTATTATTTGTGTAAACCTGAAAAGGTGCTGCGAAGTGACGCAAACCAATTTTTTTCCCAACAGTTTAAGTCTTGTTTGTTGATTTCTATTCTTCTAAATTTAGAGTGCTTAACACCCACTCATTTAAGGAAAGCAGTTTGACAAAATAGCATCAAAGCCCTGTGTGGCACCAGGTGAAAGTGTGGGTGTATTGATCTCAGTACTGCTTAAGGGAAGTTTTTAATGATTGCACCTTTCCACTCTGTAGGCAGCGGAAAATGATCCAAAACATGTTTATGTGCTAATGTAGAGCCGTGAAGCCATAAACAGTGGAAAACTCCGAGAAATTTTGTTTGTGTAAAAGTTTTCTCAGGATGTCCCATGCATCCCAAAGTTAACAGTCTCATCCTATCGCATAGTTTAAGACTTTTTCATCCGAATATTCACTTCTCAAAAGAAATAGGCTGAGCAGAATTATACATAACATTGTTTATTATAGGTTAAAGGGAAAAACTACAACAACAACAACAAACGAGTCAAACTGGCTGTTTTCATTGAGAAGGAAGAATAAATAATACTTCTGTCAGTCTGCCTCTTCCTCTGTGATGTCATCAAGCTGAGACTGCCCGCACCATCCTGTCTCCAAACCACAAACACCATCCTGTGTGTGTGCTGTCATACACACCCTGTCTATATTCTCTGCAGATAACATATTACTTTTGTTCGTCTTAAACGAGGGCTTGAAGTCCCCCAGATCCTCACATGTTCATGGGGATTCCAGTGTTTGTAGTGGGGGCTGAAAGTAATACCCTCCAGCCGTTTATAGATACACAGTCAGCCCACCACACCAGTGATGGAGAGACTCGGACAAATGATGTCCACTTGTGTCTGTTCAGAGAGAAAGCTCTCCTGTAGAAGCTAAAGTTATCCTCAAAGCATGATTAGTGTTAAGAGAGTAAAACATTACTATAATTTTGAAATACCAGTACCGTTCCAAAGTCTGGAGTCTGCTTTTTTCTTATCAAAATACAGTTAAAAAAAAAAAAAAAAAGTAATATTGTAAAATATTGTTACAATTTAAAATAACTCTTTTCTATGTAAATAATTTCAAAATGTGATGTATCCCTGTGATTGTTAAGCTGAATTTTCAGCATCATTACGATCCGTCAGAAATCATTCTAATATGCTGATTTACTGCTCAAGAAACATTTACTATTATTGTCAATGTTGAAAACAGTTGTGCCGCCTAATATTTTGTGAAAACCGTGATACGTTTTCAGGATTCTTTGATTAATAATGTTCAGAAGGACACCATTTATTTGAAATAGAAATCTTATAATGTCTTTACTTTTGATCAATTTAATGCATCCTTGCTGAATAAAAGTATTCATTTCTTTCAGAAACAATGTACTTGACTTTCTGTACTGACTTTTGAACTATAGTGTGGTCATTTTTTTTTCTTTTTCCCATGTTTAATTTTCACCCCATTTCAGGAATGAGTGCACACAGTCGATTTTTCACCTTTTTTTTATTAAAACCAAAGGTGACATGAATTTTGAGGCATTCTGGACATCTCAATGACATAAAAGCAAAAGTAGTGGAATAAAAAGTATAACATTTTGTCAGAATTGTACAGAGAAAAGGTTTATAAAAGAACTGCCATTTGAAAACTGAAAGGTTTTCATACCTTTTTTTTCTTCTAAATGCATAGCCTATATACATCCAAAACCTAATTCTTTGGCTTTTACTATCTAACTGCAATACATCACACAGCTCAAACAAATGTAGCAAGAAACAATCAGTCACAGCTATTCACACTTTACATTCTTTTCTGTCATGTCAGCAAACAGCCCACATATTTGACAGTAAATCGACATGATACAATCATTTATCCTCGTGAGTTGGACACAGATTTGCATCTTTCTCAGTATTAAACATGACAACAGTCTGCGACTGATGCTGTCTGTTAGCACTATAGATTATTCTGGTGGGATTCTGCTCAGTTCTTGAGTCCCGAAGCTCCAGGTGCACCGTGGAATTCCAACATTTGCCTTTTACACTTTAGCTTACAAAACTTGTGGGCTTTTTACAATAAACCAAGGATTTACAGTTCTAGGTTATATTCTTCCATATTTCACACTGTTCAAACTTCATCCTGGGTTAGTAATTAGTCCTGGGTTGTCAAGTTTCGAGATTTTACGCTAGATATTTAAACCCTGGGTTAACATTCTTGTTTGCATATTGATTGGACAAGTATGGCACTTGGTGAGCCTGCAAGCTATTTTACCGTAATCACTTCTTGTCCATTATCTGTTGATAAGCTCTTAACCGTGGGTTCAAAATGGCGCTAACCTCCTTTCAAAATTACAAGTGTGAAGCGGGATAGTTCATTAAAAAATGAAAATGCTGCCATTATTCACTCAGCCTCATTGTCATGTAAACGTGTATGACTTTCTTCTGTAGAACATGAAAGCAGATCATTTGTGAAATGTTTTCTTGTCAATGGGCTCCAATGTTGTCCAATCTTCTTATGTTTTCCACAGGAGAAAGAAAGTCATACAAGTTTGGAACAACATGAGAGTGAATCAATTATGGCAGAATCTTTATTTTTGGGTGAACTATCCCAGTAATCCAGGATTTAGCCTCCAGGGTCAATTTTGAGAGGCGTTGTTATGGTGATGCGTAATGACTCTGTGGTAATCTTGGGTCGGGGAGATGGCGTGTTCAGGGGGAAGGTGTGAAAGCTCATGGCTGCGGATGTAGTTCATGCTGCCCGGGTGACTGAGGTAGAGAAGCTGGCGAGCAAACAGTGGCTCAACCTGTGACACAATGACAAGAGCAAATTACCACATTAATCATTATGTTTTGTTCCTAACTGTTCATCAGTATTAAAACGAACCAAAGAAATGTCATATTTTAAAGGTTAAAGACGAACCTGCACTGTGAATGTCCTTCTTGGCCTTTGCGCATCAGTACTCTCATCCTCAAAGAATAGCAGCACTTGGGAACATGGCGCAGGACGAGCGTGCAGGGCGTAACTCTGCAACTCTACAGGAGATACGGAGGAGGAGATTATTCACAGCCAATGGCAAGTGAGATCAATAAATACATCGGCAAATGGTTGGAAGAGGGAGATAATGGAGATCTACACTACCATTCAAACGGTTGGCGGTCAGTACGATTTTTTTTGTTTTTGAAAGTCTCTTATACTCACCAAGGCCTCATTTATTTGACCAAAAATACAGTGAAAACTGTAATATTGAGAAACATTTTCTATTTGAATATATTTTAAAATGTGATTTATTCCTGTGATGGAAAGGCTGACTTTTCAGCATCATTACTCTTCAGAAATCATTCTATTGTAATGATTTGCTTCTCAAGACACATTTCTTATTATTATCAGTGTTGAAAACAACTTAATATTTTTGTGAAAACCATTTTTATAGATTATTTGATGACTAGAAAATTAAAAAGAATAGTATTTATTTGAAATAGAAATCTTTTGTAACATTATAAGTGTCTTTACTATCACTTTTGATCAATTGAATTGCACCCTTGCTGAAAAAAGTATTAATTTCTTCAAATAAAAGAGTCTTGCTGACCCCAAACTTTTGAATAGGGTTGTATACACATACGAACACCCTGAATGTTTTTGTAAATGTCTGCATGAAATGTGACAGATTTTTCCGATTACTGGTCGAAATGTCCAATTCTTAAACTATTATCTTGAATCTTGAGTATTTGGCTGCATGCTTGTTACAGTGTGTTCGTTTGTAGGCAGGTGATTGAACATGTTTTTCAAGCCATTGGTATGATCTCATCTCTTTCTGTAATAAGAATGTTTTTTTTCTATTTTCATCTCATTCTCTATTTTCTTTCCACACTGTGAGCTTTGTCGAATGTGGCACATGTGATTCCTGTGGTATTTGAGTTGTACTCATATGCTGGAAAGTTCTGTGAGAATCACAACAATCGGTGAATCTGTTACAGAAAGTGGGTGTGAGTGAGTTGTAACTCATAGATGACTGACTGTCACTAAATATCAACCCACAGATAATGTGACGCACTGTTTACTGTAAAAGCTTTGATGTGTTTGTTTACAGTAAAATGTGTGTATGGATATGTGCAAATATATGATACAAGCAGTGAATTACTTAGCAGAGAGATATAAATGTTTACAATAAATGGTTCTCAGTTTTGCTGAGAAAGATGACTGATAAAGTAACCTGTTTTTAACATGTCATCAGATCTTTTGTTTGTCATAATCTTATTGTAATTTATCTGAAAAACTGCCCACATGAATACGTTACCATGCACTAACCTGTTATGAACAGATGAGTGTCCAGCAGTTTGCAGTTCTGCTCTCTCTCCAGCTTGTTGGGTTTGTCAGTAGGTGGAGCGTGAGCTCCCTCCCAGTACACCCTGCAGGGGCAGCGGCGGCGGGCGTAGAGCCCGTCAGGAGCCATCCAGAGTATAACACCACGCTCCAGAGATGCCCTTTCAGCATGAGGGAGTTCAACCAGTTCTGGAGCCCCAGGTGAAGCGAAGGCCTGTCCCTCTCTGCTAGGGCCCAGCTGACAGCCCTCTGGACTAGTCACTGTTACCTCTCGCACCAGGGCATCCCGGTAAAACACCACCACATTTAAGCGGTAATCTAATCGAGATCAAATAAAATAAACTTTAATATGGTCTTTAAACGGTCCCACTTTATATTAAAGGGTTAGTTCACCCAAAAATGAAAATTCTGTCAGTATTTACTCACCCTCATGTTGTTCCAACCCCGTAAGACCTTCGTTCATCTTCGGAACACGTATTAAGATATTTTTGATGAAATCTGACAGCTGGATCACTCCTCCATACTAGTCCATAGGCTTCTTCAGGGATTGAACTTGCCGGCCTCGAAAAGTTATTAAAGACATCGTTAAAATAGTCCAAGTGACTACAGTGGCTCAATCTTAAGTTTATCAAGCGACGAGAATACTTTTTGTGCGGAAAAAAATAAAAAAATAACGACTTTATTTCAACTATTCATGTCCTTCTCTTTGGGCCTCTAGTCAGTTAACGTAGTGTGATTCCGTAGAGCTACGTCACACGTAGGCTCACTATTGGCCGACGCTGGTCATGTGCGTGATGCGTGTGACGTACAACAACAGAAGCTTACGCTATTACACTAGTGAACTGACTCGAGGCCCAAGGAGATGGACATGAATAGTTGAAATAAAGTCGTTATTTTTGTTTGTTTTTGCGCACAAAAAGTATTCTCGTCGCTTGATAAACTTAAGATTGAGCCACTGTAGTCATTTGGACTATTTTAACAATGTCTTTAATAACTTTTCGAGGCCGGCAAGTTCAATCCCTGAAGAAGCCTATGGAGGAGTGATCCAGCTCTCAGATTTCATCAAAAATATCTTAATTCGTGTTCCGAAGATGAACGAAGGTCTTACGGGGTTGGAACAACATGAGGGTGAGTAATTACTGACAGAATTTTCATTTTTGGGTGAACTAACCCTTTAAGTGGCGTTAAGTGCTACGTACTTACATCGAAAAATAAGTACAATGACCTTATTGTGTGGATGTTGTATTGTAAAAGACTTTTGCTGCTATTGAGGTGTGATACTGGTAAGGTTAGGGTCAGGTGTGGTGGTATAGGTAGGTTTAAGTGTGGGTTAAGGTGTAAGAGAAGGATCAACAGTGTAATAACAAATGTAATTACATACATTAATTACAGCTGTAATTACATGCAGGTATTTTTAAAATATAAGCACAATGTAAAAACATGTATGTACACAAGTCTATTGTATCAAATTATGAATGTCAATGTAAGTACATAGTACTTAAAGTCACTTAATATAAAGTGGGACCCTTTAAACTTTAAATATATATCATAATTGGAGCCGTTGATGTCAAGACAACTAGGAAAAAATACGATGCAAAATTGAACAGTACCATATCAGCTAGTTATCAGCCAATATTAGAGTTTTTTAACATTTAGATTACTTGTCATCATATAATTCTCAATTGAAGGTAATCTTTAAAAACACAAAAGTCAGCATGAAATGAAAATTCACCCCATCTATTTTCTATATGCATGTTATGGATCTTATTGTGAAGAATTGATCCATGCATATCTTTCTTCTCTTTTTTTTTGACCTCGTAATTTAAATTAAAATGTCATCATAATCATAACTCACAGTGAAAATAGTCCAATCATTTAGTTCACTTAAACTAAACCCTTTCTTACAACTGACTGCAAGCATTCATTCAGATGTGCCTCCATTCAGTCAACAAATGAGGGATAAAAAGTCCATTTTTTTCCTTTTCAATAATCTGTTTCACTCAGATGTGTGAAAATATCTGTGGTTACTTCTGTAACGTCATGACTTTAAATGTGATCTTTCTCAAATCTCAAAATGAACATCTATTTTTCATTCTGTACATCATCATTTTGTGATGCTTAAATTATGTTATGTTGTTGTTGACGTAATTGCCTCATCACATGAAAATACTTACAGTTACTTTTAGTTATTGGTCAGAATTTTTAATACTGTTCCACTTTTCTTTTCTTTTCAAAGCGATCTCCGAAATCATCTAGATGATCATCTCGATACAAAATCAGTATCAGAAGTATCAATACTTGAAGAGCAATCAATCCATTCCTATTAAGCCTGTCAAAGTCTCTGTGTTTATAATTATGTTTGAGCATGTACAGTACCTGAGAGGGCCAGAGCCTCAGCGGATCTCATGCTGGTGTCCAGGGTGAAGGGTGACGGCTGTGGATCAGATGCATTGCAACTGAAGAAGGAGCCACTGAACTGGTACCCTGCGCATACACAAATATCCCAATGCAATTGCTTGCTACATGAATTTGCTTGTATACATTCTCTTTCAAGCACACACAGTAAGACAGTACCAGGGTCCCAGCGTGGAGTGTAGGGGCTCTGGCTGTAAGGGATCTCAGACAGGGTGGGGTAATCCCTCCATCCTCTCTCTGCTGGAGAAATGTAGTTGCACACCTGTAATGACAAGCGCATACAGTGATCCGAAGGGCAAAGATCTGAACACACAAGCCAAAGTACAACTAAGATGATGTTTGATTCTAACCTGAGAAGGTGCTGGTGCATACGGTGGGTGTATTGGATAACTAGGTGAGTTTGAATTGGACTGTGAATCATCAGTAGATCTGGAACCTGCAACATTTAAATATGACATATTTTCATTGTTTTCATCAGATATCTAAAGAAATATTTATAAAATAATCAGTTCTAATCTGTTTGATGTCCTTCATTCACATTATGAAGAAATATGAGAGCACTGAATATGGACCACACAATATGCTCCCCCTTGCCTTTTTTGGATCCTTCCGGAATAATCCTATACACTTTATAGGGGTCCGATATGTCAAGTTGACTGCGCTCCACAATTTCCTCAAAGTCGTTGCTCTTGTTAAGAGCACACCGAAGACGCGTTTTCCAAGTTGGTGGGTCAGGTTTGTCGATTCCCTCCCGGAACTTTCCTTTGAATAGTGCCCAAGCCTGCAGGAAAACAAGTTCCAACCGAGAGGCCAACATACGGGTCAATCAGATACAAGGATGTCCATAAAAATTTGAAATGTTTCAAGTAATCTGGTATAAAATACATGTGGCAAGTTCCTAGGAATGTAATCTTTTGTTCTATGTTGGTTTTTATACACTTTTCAAAAAATATTTGATTTGCATATGCTAAAAATGTAAAAAGTACTTTCCTTCCATCTTGAAAAAAACTATTTTATTATTGTTTCGTTTATTATTTATTATGTTATCGATTTTTTTTTTAGTAATCTTGAATTTTTCAATCCTGACAATATCAAACAATTTGACCTGAAGGAAAAAAAAACTGCAGTTCTCATTAAAAAGGGCAAGATATTTGATTATGCAAACACTACTTATGTAAACACCGCACTACTTCACCCTCAGGTGCTCATTTTTTACCAAAAAAAGTAAAGTGTTTTTATTTTTTACTTCATCGGAATGGTACGAAACTTGCCACTTGCTATGTGAAGACAATAAAAAATCATGGACATGATTCGAAAAGGTTAAATGGTCCAGAAAAAAAGTCACACTTGTGCTCCAATGGGAGACAAATTTCATCTCATGAAATCTTTTGGTATTGCGGCCAAATAAAATCTCACTGAAAGCTCAATTTTTGAGATATCAACCACAAATTTGGAACACAACTTTTTTTATGCCTTTGATTTTCTTGCAGTTTTAGAGTAAAACGTGTTTTTGAAAATACAGATTTCATATCAAAATTGAAAATAGTATTTTTCATAACAATAAACGTAAAATTCTGTCACTTTTTTAAGTTCACTTTTCAAATTTCGTATTTGAAAAGAGATCAAACTTAAGCCTTTGCATAAAGCATTCAAGATTTACGACAGTTTAAGTTGGAAATTTAATTTTCTATGCTCAAAACGTGAATAAATTGAGTATAACTATGATACTGCGTAAATATAATGTAGTAGCCTACCATAAAATATTAAATAAAAAACATAATCAAACTAAAATATAGTAGGCCTACAGAAAGAAAAAAAAATTGGTCATTTTTGACCACCATGCGAAGAGCAGATGTTTTTACTGTCTTTTCCGAACAGTTACACCACTTTTTAACTTTTATTAAAAATAATTTAAAAAAACAATTGGAAATTGGAAACATGCGTTGTCTAAGAATTGTATTTGAATGTATATTTTGAGCAAAAATGAGCGCTACGTCATTGACTCGTGTAACACGAGTAGGATAAGGTCCCATGGGAGAAATAATGCGTTACTGTTACTGACGTTTCTCAACCCCTCCATGTTCAATCTGCCTGTACCTTAAAGAGCGCAGCATCCTCATCCCTGTTGTAGTCCTGCTTCCCCGCGTGCTTCCACGGAATTCGAAAGATGCTCTTCTCGTCGTTCTCCCACACGAGTCCAGGGTATTTTCCGGTGTCCACCTGCTCGATCAGCCACTGACGCAACTTTCCGTTACCGGAGCCCCCCGTCACCGCGCGCTCTTCATCCGAACACATATCTGAGAAGAAAAACGTATTTCATTCAGATCTTTTCATTACCAAATTAAATCGAAATGGTTAAAACAGGAATATAAATAAATAACTAAAAACGCAAGGAAGTCTGAATAAGAAAACGATGCATACTGCAGAAAGTAGTACAGGAGCGCGTGCTGCCCTCTTTCAGAGCTTTCGAGTTTTGAAATGTGTCAGTACCGTAGTTCAGCTTTCGACCGCGACTTTTCTTCAATCGTTTGCATTGACAGGGGCGGAGCGTTCGCCACACACACAGTCACAGGATTCCACGCACCTGCAGCGCGCGTGAGATACACGACGGACGTCCCGTAAACGCGCGGGGGCTGCTCATGGTATTAAACCCACGCACACCAAAGCGGGACTTTTGGCGTTTAATAAAAGAAATTTAATTTCTTTTAATTCGATGACGTTGAAATGTCAGCTGTGTTTATAAATAAGCCTATCATTTTGTTCATTTGTTTGTCCAAATCTTTGTCTGGATTCCAAAGTGGGCTCATGCAAGATTAGCCAAATATACAGAAATTAGTGGGCTCGTTGAATAACACAGAATAATCAACATTAATAAATCGTACTGATTTGTTTATGGTGAATTCAGGTAAAGTGACAAATAAGTTCCAGATGGCTCAGCCTCCAATACCATTTTACACCACCTTTATTGTCTTTCTTTTAAATATATAAACGTACTTTCTTAAGATTTACTAATTAAAAATATCACTATTGCGTGTCAAACATTTATGACAATCACATATAACCATCTAGGCCTATAGCTATCGCTATTTCATCACGATTTATGTGGCTTGTCATTTTACATAGTAGGCTAGCTAGAATATCAGCTGTGTAATTTGTTTGGAAAAGTTTTTTTCCCCCGTCATCAGAAAGCTCCAAACTATGTGAAAGCATATTTCACTAGTGTCTCAGTGGCATTCTCATAAGGCTGATCAGTGTGTCTTGTAGCCAGCAGAGGGCAGTACTGGACCATTCTCAGCAATCTATAATAAATAATGAAATCGCAATAGAATTTAAAAATGTTGCTCATCCTACAAAAGTAATTTTCTTCCAGTAGTATTGGGAGACTATGGTTTGATGGCATAACTGGTTCATAGTTCACGATAATGCTGTCATAAAATTGTAAGATATCATATATTAATGTTTGCCCTCTTAATACCACATATTCATTGAGTCTATTAAGATTTTTTTTAATGGATCAAACATGTCGAGGTGAGGAATTGTAACCTTTCTTTGCCAAAAAAAAGGGAAAAATTAAACGCCAGCAATTATTAATTATTATTATTATTCGAGATGGTCATTCTTTTTAATATAGCTAGGCATATGAATGTTATTTTAGGCCTAGCTTAAAAAGGGCAGTTAAATTTTGATATAAGACATGCAAGCCTGTGATAAATTGGGGGGGGTGGGGGGGGGGGGGGGGGGGGGGGGGGGGGGGGGAGAAGGTCTATAGCCTTTTTTTTTTTTTGCTTCATCTTCCAGGATATGGGGTTCATAAATTAAAAAAATATATTATAGGCTATGTAAATTGATACATTTCCTGAGTCATTTGAAATTCAAATTAAAACTTGTAAACGTTTTGACCATTATTCATTGTTTATTTTTTGCTACGTTTCAAAAGACTTGAAGATTTTATAGTTTGCCCTATTCCCAGACCCAGACTTTCAAACAATGGGTATCCATTATAGTAAATTATGAATTATTACACGTTTAAACCCTATATGATAACCATCATCACTTAATTGTCCTATTTATTGGGCGAAAATTACTTTTTGCCCATAATAAAACCTTAGCAAAATATCAAGGTAAATATCACTTGTGCGTCATCAAAGCAAGATTTCGTCTATAGCCTACGTCATACGTACACTGATGAACGTATAGTTAGTAGACAGATTTTAAACTTGAGTTTGAGTAAAAGTCATCCTGGCCAAAAGTGCCCATAGGTGAGGAAACAATAAATTACAACTGAAACTCAAAACCGAAAGCCCCGACCCTATGACGTAATGTAAATAAAATGGCAGCGGCCTAAATAGTGAAAGGTAGTTTACACGTTTCCGTTTGCTTTGGCATCTTATTACAGCCACTTTTACCTGCTGGCACGCTCTCTTTGTTATACAGTAAAGTTGATTCATTAACGTGGAGTTTATTATCATCAACAGCAAAGACGAACACGGCTTTATTATGGGAACTGTCATAGAAACGAATAATTTCCGAGGACAAGGACAGTTTATCAGACTATCCGAGTTGTCATCTGGTAGCGTTACTGACCGCAGCACACTTTTGTAAGTAGGCAAATCTGGTGTTTGTGCGTATAGCGTATGGTATATCAAGCGTACGCATGATCGATATGGCGACGTACTCTTGACGCAAAGTTGTATAGGCTAACGTTACGCAGTTCCCAAGTGTTAATAACAAATGAGATGAGTGTAATTGCGTTAATTTACACGCTAAAGGAAGAACAAGGAAGAAGAGATGACATAATCAAAGGGAGTATTTCATTTGTCCCGGAAACTCCCTGCCAGAATGGCTGAAAAAAAGTGTTCCTGTGAAAATGAGCTAGATTCTACGGACGACAGCTTGGATGAAACTTGTATTTTCTGTAGGATCGCAAACGGCGACGATCCATACACTGAGATACTGGCGGAAGTAAGTTGATCTTTATCGTAGGAAATAGATATAACCATGATTGGTTCCGTGACCGATTGAATGAATGCTTCAAAAACAGTTGTCTGGTACGCAAACGGGATATACACGGACAAATTGTTGTTTACTTTTTTACTTAGTAATTATTTACTTTTATGTTTACGTAAATTTTTTTTTTTACACGTTTTCATTAAGCGACTTACAAAGTAGCATTCACTAGCCTAAAGCATTATTAGTAGTTCTGTGCTGATGTCCTTAAAAGAGGAAGAGATTAGAAAATATTACTTTACTCATTACCATTATTGTTATATTCGAATTTTTACTAACTTATCTCAAATATAGGCTATTTGGCATTACAACTCACCCTATGTGACTCATCCAGTATCCTGTCCCATGCATGTATAAATACAGGGGGTTCCAAAAGTATATATATACGCAATAGTGTACATGCAAACATAATGTAATTTACTTTTATCAAGTGTACTTTTATTTAGGTTTTCCCTCTGTTTTCAGGAACAAAAATATACAATGTTTTTTATAATACAATAACATAATCATTATAATGTACTTTAAATGTCAAGGTAAATAAAACATGGATTTTGATTCTTTGACAGGATGAGGAAATAGTTTGTTTCAAGGACATTGATCCAGGTGCACCTCATCACTACCTGGTTATACCAAAGCAACATATCCATAGCTGTTTGTCACTCCAAGCAGATGATATTGGTCTAGGTAAGATTGTCATTTTTGAAGTTCCATTTGACTAAAGTGAGTAAAGCTGTTTTGCGATTGGCTTCTGTATTTCTAGCCCCAGCTGTAACAGTAACAGACAGATAAATAAAGAATTGATCCCAGGTTTATAATCAGCATATTATTATCAGACAGGCTATATATATATATATATATATATATATATGTTATCATGATGGTATTCAGACAATTTATTTTTAATAAAATAAACCATTAACACATAGTTTTTTAAATAATCTAAATGTGATTGTCTTGGGTAGTCAGGAGGATGGCAGATATGGGAAGAGATGTGCTGAAAGCCAAGGATGTTACAGATATGGAAGACATCAGGTATATATTCTACAACACTACTATTACATTATTCAAGTGTTAATTTGGATGAAGCCGTTATTAAATGAGAACATGACTGTATTTTAGTCTAGGTTTCCATGTGCCTCCATTTATCACCGTCCCCCACCTGCACTTGCATGTTCTTGCACCTTTCAGTCAAACATTTAGATGGTCAATGGGAAAGTTTACAAGCTTCTGGTACCTCACTGTGAGTAAATGAATGACACTTCTGGCATTTCTTATGATCACTCTTGGTTGCTTATGAGTTCTCATTGTTTCTCTGTGTGATGTCTTATAGGAGGAGAAGATGCTTCACGAACTGACGAAGAATAAAAAGTCGGATGATCGGAAAATAACATGTAATAAATGCATGCGGCCATGTGAAGCTATGTGAGCTTTATGACTGAAGAAACTTGAAATCACAAGGCACTTTAGTGAAGATTGTTTATTTCTAAAAGCCAGCATGTCATTTTTTATTTATTTATATGTTTCTTTAACACTTAAGTATTTTAAAAACTGAAATGGATGCACTAGAACAGTCAATTACTATTTATAAATCATTATATAAGTGTAATCTAATCAATAATGATTTGTTAATAAACGGATGAAAATGTTAATTATTTTGTGTAGTTGATTGTTACATATTCTATTGTGAAAGATTTATACTGTGAGCCATAAACATAACTCATTTGGCCTAAATAATTTTAAAACCTTTACAGTTATTGTCTCTGTTTCCTCATTCTAGAGAGACTAAAAACTCAAGAGTGTGAAAACGTACTATAGGAAAGTTTCCCTCGTGGTGTCAGATGTTGTTACATGGATAAGAAAGTTCATTCTGTGTACAAAAAAATTGGCTCAGTTGATGATATCTATCCAGTTAGCCCACAAAGAACAAAGAATAGCCTAATTTAATAAGAAATAATTTATTAAAGATTTTAAAATGTATCATAGGCCTAGACCTATCTATCGATATTTACTAATTCTACTTGAAATACTGCAAAAACCAAAACATTTTGTCACATGCAATTCACTTAATAATAAAGACAAACCAAATAATAATTACATAATATAAGATATTTTATTGAGCTAATATATTTATCTTATAAACCTTAAGCACATTCCTTCAAAAAAGAAAAACAAATTGAAAAGAAAAATATCAACTTGCATTGGTAAAACATGCTTCATATTCCGGATATTTAACGTAAAAGGGTCTAGAAAGTGCATATTCAATTAAACCACCTTAGATGAATGAAAGATGTAATAAAAGATATAACAATGCAAGAAATTAATAAATAGCCTATCCTGCAATATAACATCAGATTAAAAGCTCTTTTGCCTTTATGTTAACTTTTACTTCAAACACTGGGTGTGAATGTGATTTCTAGTATACTGTATGTTTACAGGGATTAATCTGCAAATGAAAAGACGTCTTCCTGAAGGCATGTAGTGAGGACTATGTGTTGTAGTGAAAGTCTTTCATTTTCTTTGGCTTGTTTTACTTGTTTGTGATCATTCAAAGAGCTTAGTCTTGGAAGACAATGGTCCTGAAATACAGAAGTCAGCAGATACTGCAGGCCTCCAAAAGTCCACACTGTTCACAATCGCTCTGATCAGTTTTTTGCACATGGAAAGCATCCACAGAACATTTTCTTGAATGGGTTGTTTTTGTCATGTCTCTTTGCCCGTTCCAGTTTGACAAGGACTTCACCAAGCATAGCATCAGTTTTCTGAACATTGTTTAAGATGTAGTCTGTCATGGGTCCTTGTTCCTCTACAAGCATAGCCACGTCCAGGAACACTTCATGAAGGCTCTTGATTCGGTTTTCTAACTCAAGCAGGTCCCGATGTCGACTCTCGATCTGGTTGAGCGCAGAACGAGCCGTTTTCCCTTCTGACATGACGTTATCGTTGAAGATGTTCCACTGACCATTCTCTAGCATCTCTTCAATCTGGTCACCTGACACCTCTCGGCCCACGATCTCCATTTGCCGTTGAATGTGACGCTTGCACGATTCCTTGTGACTCATCTCAGCATCGTTGTAATCGGTTATTGTGTCTCGGAAGTTGTTGCTTAGGCTGGTGTACTGTGTTCGGGCGATTCTTGCCACAGCAGAGTTGATGCCATGCTCCTCTTCAAGCTCTTTGGCATGGGCATCCATTTTTTTTAGACGTGTCAGAACGTCCTCACCACGGGTCTTGATGTCACCAGCGATGACATTGGCGTCATGCTTTATGTGTGTTGTACGAGTTGGTTCGCTAAGTAAACGTGTGTTTTGGTCCCTGAGACGCTTCACCTCCAGACGGATGAGCTGAATCTCACGCCTAGTGTCCTGAGCCTCATCGAGCACAGACTCCATCTCATCGCTGTTGTCATAAATGACGGCCTGCTGGTGGAATTCCTCCAGGTCCACATTGCTGAAAGACTCTGATTCCAGCTCTTCCAGATCACTGTTAGACTCTGAAATGGTCTGAAGATGATCCAGTCTGTCCCTCATGATTGCTAGAGGGGAGAATGAACAAGAAAGGACAACATCTGATGTAGGCTAAACAGTCTAAAACAATTTAGCATAACAATACCTTGTGTAGCCTAGTCGTTGTTTTCACGCATAAACTCATTTTCATTCTTTGTGTACCTTCTGAAACTGACTGTAAAAGGGGGAGATAATACTTCCTTATCAACACTGAAAAAGTCACATGTCTAACAAGTTCATCTGTGAAACTATTTCTGACTGGCGTCACTCACCAAACAAGTTTGAATGGATTGAATTGATAGTTCAGCCTTTGTTTCTTTTCAAAAATGGTGTTCTCTCCGATTACGAATATTTTACTAATAACGTATGAATAAGATATCAAAAAAATATTCAACTGAATTCGAGTATCTAAAGCTTTACAGTTTACAAGATAAGAAGGCTATATAAACCTGTTTTTTTCCTAACTTTTCAAAAGACAATAAACAAGATTTAATGAAATTTCCTCAAAGCAGCATTTTACTAATTGTTTTCATTGGAAATAAATTGTATAGGCTACATTTTCAAGCATTTTACAGTTTTACACTGACAACATTATAACGAATATATTTCTTCTATGAATAATTTTCTATTAAATTGTAAAATAGAGGCTGAAAATGTGAAGAAAAAAAAAAACCCACGTCATGCACTACAATGCACATTACCTTATATTTTTGTCCAAAATGTCACCAGTTTAACTTATGTCGATATGTCATCTGAACTGAAGACTGCAGCTCCATCCTCGCTGCAGCTGTAATGGGTGGCGGGAAGGAATGCGCGTTCCAGGGCGTAACTTTGACGCCAAACCTGTTCGCTCAATAGAATGTCAGACGTGTGTTTCGGTAACACGTGACATAACCTCTATTTTGCGAAAAGTGATGTCGTCTTCATATCTTCTATGTCATATAGGTCTAATAGCTACATTGGTGGTCTGAGTGGGACTCTGACAATCATGATTTATAGATTCATGGATTCAACAAAAGCTAGAGCAACTTCGATCAATAAGCATAGGCTACTGACAGTGAAAATAAGGATTGCTTATAGGCTAAGCAATATATATAAATAGGATGCTTTAACTAAAGAAATAGGAAGCTTCCTCGGTAGTTAAATTGATATTTGTTCGCCACACTAAATAGGCTAATAACGAAAAATAGGCTTGGCAAGCAGCTAGCAAAACAAGTAAATAGCAATTTTTCTCCTAATACTTAAAATGAATTGTAATAATAGGCTAACCATTGGGCTATAGGCTAACAACCCATTAGTCGGAGAATAAATGCATTCTAGATGTTAATAACATAGCTACCCTGTAGGTTAAGTTTTTTAGTTTGAGATTTTTCTATATTTTTTTTTTTAAATAAACTTTGTAATGACATTTAGCCACGTGGTGAGTCAAAAGATTTCTGTCTCCCCTAAATTGTGTATTCTCTTAAAGTTAAAATTTTTTGACACGGTGCAGTAGACTTAAAATGTACAATACATAAAAGGCGATGAAAAAAAAAAAACAATTAATTTGGACTTTATTTACAAGAAAAAGCCTCCTGTGAGCCATCGAGTAGCCTACCTTTTTAATTTGTTTTAATGCTTGAAGAAACGTGCAAGATAACAAATAAACCTCAAAAAGACAGCTTAATACAATTTCAAGAAGTCAGCAGCAAACAGAATAAATAACGTTAAACAACATAAACCTGAAGAAACTTACACACGGGGTAATCTGAATACCTTCAGAAGATTACACTATTTAAGGGCTTTTTTTTTGTTACGCATGAGTCTTAAATATTCGAAGAAGATCATTAAATCTGTATGGCAAAATAAGAATGTGGGACGGGTAAGTAGCTTACATTTGTTCTGGAGCTACTTGGCCTCAGCTCTCCTCTCATCTCTAAAGTGACGCATCTCTGCTGCCCTCTGCCGGACATGATCTCTGCGCAACCTGACTTGGGGCGGGGTCTGTGTCTATCACAATTACATCATCACCGATCATTACTAACATGCGGTGAAATTGGGTGAATGTATTTTTTTTTCTTAGGCGAATAATAACGTGAATTTTGTACCCTGCAAAGCTGATTTTGAGAGGAGTGCACACAGAAGGACACAATTTGAGGTAGGCCACAGTGATATGAATTCTCAAAGCTGAGTATTTGCGTTGCAACGCAGGCCAGTTTTCATTAAAAAAAATATTTTAAGATTTAATATTTTAATAATTATAAGATGGGTCTACATTGGGTCTAATTGTACCTATTTGCAGATATATTAGATAGACTCATTCTTAATAAATGTAGCAGCCTACTAAATAGTAGGCTATCTTTATCTCTGACTGAATATAACTTTGAAAAATACCAATTGCGATTATTGCCTTCTCTTCAAATAATAAAAAACTGCATCATGATGAAGCAGAGCCTAATAGAAACGTAATAAGAGTGAAAAATAAAAATAAAAAGCTTAGCTTTGTTTAAACGTGGAGCTAAAAACAAGTCTGTCTTGTCTGACAAGCTTTTGGTGACACGAGTAGGCTACGGGCTACGTTTCCACATGGTAGGCGTTTTGACGTGCATGTTACGTATGACAACGAATATTCTGTTTTTAAGAGCTTACCAAAATGCCTATTGTATATTTTATGTTCATGTGTGTTGGCTTTTCTAATTAATTTACTGAATATATACTTTTTACTTTTCAGTCATATACTTCACTTCAGTCATGAGGGACAGACTTGACCACCTCCGGGATGTATCAGTGTCTAATGAGAGTGTTGCAGAGTATGAAACTGGCCAAACTCTCCCCCCTTCAGAAAACACAACCCATGATGATCCTCCTCAAGATACCAGCACCAACCCTGACATGGAAGCTGTCTTTGATGAGGCACAAGAGGCTCGGCGTCAGATTCAGTACATCAGTCTGGAAGTGAAGCGTCTCAGGGAGCGAAACTCACATATTTTTACAGGTGCAGTCGGTTCTAGTGCTTCTAATACCTGTGACTCTGATGCTATCGCTGCTGGCATCAAAACCAGTGGACAGGAGATGCTTGCGCACCTTCGCAAAATGGATTCCCACGGGAAAGAGTTAGAGGAAAAGTATGGCTTCTATTCGACGGTGGCAAGAATCGCCCGAACACAGTACGCCAGCATAAGCAACAGTTTCAGAGATACCATGGTGGAGTACAACGATGCGGAGATGAGCTACAGAGAGTCCTGCAAGGCATATATTCAACGGCAGATGGAGATTGTGGGGCGAGAGGTCACGGGTGACCAGATCGAGGAGATGCTGGAGAGCGGTCAGTGGAACGTTTTCAGTGAGAACATGGTTTCAGAAGGGAAAACTGTACGGTCTGCGCTCATACAGATTGAGAGCCGTCATACAGAACTGCTACAGCTGGAGAGACGCATTCAGAGCCTTCATGAGGTTTTTCTGGATGTGGCCATGCTGCTAGAACAGCAGAGCTCAATGATAGACTACATTCACACCAATGTTCAGTCAACGGAGGTGGAGGTCAGGGAGGTCCTTGTGAAGCTGGAGCGATCCAAAAGACATGATAGGAGCAACCCGTTAAAAAAAATGTTCTTCTGGAAGCGATGACATGGCCACAAATATCACAGTTCAAAAGAAATACACTAAGTGATCCGATTCTTTTTGTTTGTATTACCATTTTATATTTGTTGCAATTTCTTTTTTAGGCATTCATCTTCTGAAGGAAAACACATAATAGTAATTTTGTGTAAGACACTGCTATCCAATACATATCTCAAAAGTATCACAAATATTGAAATGTGTGCATTTTTACAGTTGGCTGTTTTGGCAAATAACTTTTACAGGGATTCAGAAATGTTTTTTTTTTTGTAGACATTTTTAAATGAAGCTTTTATTCTTGGGATGGAATGACTAGTTAATTGTGATGATGGATCTAACTATTTCTTGTGTATACAAAAATGTTATCAGCTGTATCTCATTCTGTGTGGATTCATTAAAAGTTTTTTGGCAGAAGTCATAAATTAGAGGATAACTTTATTACCCTAATTAGATCACATGTGTCTACCTCATGTGGAACGTGATGTCCCTGCTCACATCTATTAAACCAAAACATGCAATACAAAAACCTTTCTGCCAGTGACTGGCATTGAAAGTTGCTATAGGAGGTCGCTATAATACACCCAGAAAACTGTGTTCAATGAACTTAATTTTAAGGAAAACTCTTCCCTGCAATTAGTTGCATGGAGAAGTTTATCTTAATTTAAGCTTATTAAGCAAACTATTTTTATTTGACTGCAGTTTCATCATTATATGCACTATATAGAATGAACAAATAAGAAGAGACTGATGTCAGTAGTACTGACATTACGGTTGTTACTGAGTAAAACAAACTCACAGCAACCATCATATAGCTGCTCACAAGCACCACCAATGTAACTACAAAATTCAAAAACATTACAGAAACTCAACATAATAGAACATAACTGAACATTAAAGCTGCAGTCCGCAGTTTTTCCTCTTTGTCGCCATCTCTGTTTGAAATCTGCAATTGCAGTCATTCGCAGAATTATCAACTTTACGCGAGTTGTACTTCAACACCCTCGACACTGCACAGCGTGGAAGAACACAGTGTTTGAGGAGAGTGTGAGGCTGTCAGTTACCGCTCCGGTGTGGATACTGGCATTAAGAATCACAGATTATTCTTTTTTGGAAGTATGACCAACATAAAAATATTCACCGGAAAATGGCATCTGAACTAGTAAGAAACATCCTTAGTGCGATTTACTGCAATGTCAGAACCAGAACAGATTAAATCTAACAATCGCTTATAAGTTATCATATCATGCAAAACCGTGCAAATTATATATGTTCTCAAATTGTTAATGTTAACAACGTCAGCATTGCGTGACTACATGTAATGTCCTTCCGATATAGGCTATCCTTGTTTTTGCATGGGCCGGTTGCAGTCTCTTTTTTTCTGTAGCCACTCCGAAGTCCGAACGAAGTCTTTTACATTTTACAGCGGGTGAATCTCCAGTTGTCACTGGTGATTGTCGTTTGAACCTTTCTGGATCTGCCATCAAATTGATAAGTTTAATTATATCAAGTGCAGTGAGAAAAAGCTATAAATCTCCACCTCCAACATCCTCACACGCAATATAGCCTATACTAGCCGAGACTCCTTCTTTATGTGTACAGATGTGACGTAATGACGCAAAGACATGCTCGACTCTCCCGCGGAAATCCACCAGTACCACTGGAATTAAAAACTTTATTACAAGCTTATACCGCTTTGAATCGAGCTAAGGCAAGCAGATAGTTTTGAACACTGGCTGGTTATGTATTTTCTCAAATATGTATTTTGGATAATTTTTAACCCAAAAAAAAGCTACGGACTGCAGCTTTAAACTAACAACCCTTTACTGAAAACATAAAATAACACTTATTCTCTAAATTTTCTCTCCTTGCACTCCCTTGAAAATCATGCTGGGAACTCCAGATCTACTGCTCAGTTAGTTGTCAAAAATGATTGTCATTAAGTAAAGTTCACTTTTAAATATATTAGGTGGATTGAACACAACAAAGTTAAGTTGTGTCACAATGTTCAAAAATCATGTTGCTTTAGCTGATTGCAATTGAACTAATTGTACTGAACAAGAGGCAAACATATTTTTTTAATGTACTTGTGTTATAAGATTGTGTTCCAGGGACAACTTTGTTAAATATGGTGATAACTAAAACACACACAGATGTGCTGTAAATTCTGTTGATTCACCTACCACCTACTTTTTTTTTCAAAAGTAATACTTTTATTCAAGTTATGCAATAAATAAATCAAAAGGGACAGTAAAGACATTTATAGTGTTATAAAAAATGTATCACGGTTTGCAGAAAAATATTAAGCAGCACTTCATGTTTTCAATATTGATAGAAGAAATGTTTCTTGAGCAGCAAATCAGCATATTAGAATGATTTCTGAAGGATCATGAGACACTGAAGACTGGAGTAATGATGCTGAAAATTCAGCTTTGCCAGCAAAGGAATAAATTATATTTTAAAATATATTCAAATAAATATTTTACATTGTAATAATATTTCACAATATTATAGTTTTACTGTATTTTTTATCAAATAAATGCAGCCTTGGTGAGCAAGAGACTTCTTTCAAAAACATTTTAAAAACTGATCCTAAACTGTTTGAACTATAGGCAACGTGCAAACACAAAACTCATGACATGAATGTGACTGCTGGATTGGGACAGGTTAATGTAATGACATCAATTAGACAGTACTTTTCCTATTGTGCTCCCTTCAATCATTCTGTTTGAAAGAAACTGCCACTGCCAACAGTGTGACTTGGCCTACTTAGTTTGCTGAGTCTTAGGCTAAATATCTTATCTTTGCAAATGTATGATATGTCAAATGAATAAAAATATAACTTATTGTTATAAGTTGCAAACTTCTAGTGCAAAGGGTTTCCTGTAAAATGACACCAAAACTGTGTATTTAGGCCAAAGTATGTGGGAATGGGAAGCTTTTTAATTTGGGTAGGCCAAATCCAGGCGGAAATCCCCAAAAACGGCAAGGATTGTAAGAGGTTAAACAACAACAGAAATAATAGCTACTAATGTGTAGTACAGATTTGTAAATAGAAAGAAAATAACAAGTTAACAAAAGGAGAAGATGTTGCACAGTAGGTGAGTCATTAGTTCTTGCTCAGACTTGTGAATAATTATTGCATACATGCTAAGTGTGCATTTCCTCCTTTGTGTGCATTGCGCGCGCCACTCTGTCGGGCACGCGCTTGACTTGTCTACTAGTCCAGTTCTGCTCGAGATCACCTTGAGCATCAGACAAGACACCGCTGCTTAGCAACTCCAAACTAGGAGCACGATGAGACTGTCGGTCGCTTTTCGCCATGCACATCGGAGTCACGCGAGCATACGACGATCACGCGCCTGTGTCAAAGTTTTAAACCCGGAGAAGAACAGATTCATACCTGATAATATCGCTGTTTCTTATCTATCGGTTCGGGAAGCAAGTTCGACCAGCGGCACAACTGAAACGGTAGCGAGCTTTAAAAGTCATCCACGAAAAAACGATGGACCGCTGTATGAAAGTGCTGTTGGGTAAGAATAAAACACGTTATTAAGTCCCTAATCGGACAAAACTTAAATGTTCTAAAACACGCTGAAGGGTTTTGTGATTGTAACAGTTGTGTTTGGCTTAACGTTATCTGTCTTGGCGTTGATTTGTTTCCACGTGCTACCGGTGTTCGGCGGCTAGCTGATGTAACTTCTGCCTCCCATTAGTCTTCCGTCTGTATAGACGTGTATACAGTACACCCTTTATGCACAATGGACACAGGCTACATATCTATAACGTGTTACTGTCTGAATTAAATTTTGCTACCAAAAAGTGGCATTTAGTTTTAACTAAGTTTGAAAGCATGTCGTTATTTGTAGGTAATGTGTCCTTATTTAACCCGCTCTCCTGGTTGGCTATGACAAAACTGACTTTCTTCACAGATTTAGATGTGTGTGTGTGTGTGTGTTATCAGAAATAACCGAAATTTGTTGAATTTATTGAAAATGTCATGAATTAAAATCACTAAAAACGCATCATTTTTATATCAGTTTTATTTCATGTCGACCCTGAAAATTATGAGGTAAGACCTACTAACAATGTTGAAGCTATGTTTATTATTCAAAAAAGTAAAGCAGGATTTACCATGAACCGACATCTTATACATCCTCTAGATAAAAACAGTTTGAGGTATTTTTTTTTTTATTTCAATAAGAATTTCTTTCTTTGGCTCCTTTTAGAGTTGAAAGTATCAGGGTTAATACGTTATTTTAAATCCATGGGAGTGTTACACCATCAATTAAAAAAAATATATAGGGGTGAAATCCCTGTCATACATGACCACCACTCCTACAAGTGACAGAAGATGTAAGACTATAGTGTAAGGGGTATACAGTCAAAGACCCAGAACCAGATATGAAGAATGAAGACCCGGAGTCAGAATTATAAAAAATTAAAGAAAAGTTTTACTGAAGATAGTTTGCATTTTCATCAGCAGAAGTCAGCTTCAAGACTCACAGGAGTTCGTAGGCCGCCTCCCTTACAGTTACAAAGATCACAGCAGTTATACCATTTCCAAGGTCTAAGCTACGTCATTGCTTACAGGTTGAATGATTCTCATTGGCTAAGAAACATTAAAGCCTAAACAATTTAACACATGTGAGGAGATAGGGGTGCCTATCGCCATTAGTAAAGATAGTTGTCGTCCACTCATTGGATTTAGGCCTGTGGTGGCCTCGCAGGTTAGAGAAGGGCGCCGGGGTGTCTGGTCCGACCGTCCAGAACCTACATAGAATGTCATACGCACACACACAAATAACAGACACTAGCAAATAACAGCTCCCATCAAGGCTGAAGAGAGTCTGAGCTCCTTATTATCAGTTAAGTATACCAAAACATACTGCTAAAACATTCACTCGTTTGGGAGAAAAACAGATCACTGGCATTTACTCCCAAGGAAGGAAATATACTGGAAAGAATACATTTTAATACAACAATTAAAGTTTGATAGTAACGCTCAATATAGCTTGACCATATGTCCAACGAAGGATCATATGTGCCCACGCTGCCTTTAGGACCCTCTAACCTTTCTACTGATCCCAGAGAAAGAGACAAACGGCCTTGTGGGTTACGTGGCCTTCGTGTCCTGCGTGTACTACGTGCAATCTCAAAGTAAGATTGGGATGCACCTAAAAGAAACTGGTTACTTGCATCCATGCATTTAAGAAAATATAATTTCACAGGCACAAGAATATAAAAATTATTATGTGATAATGAATATATTTGATTATTGATTTTTATAAAGGAAGTATATAACCATTCAAAATGATATATGATTATATATGTATTTGAAGAGGCAAGGGATTTTGACCAACCCTTCAGTCCCCCGTTTTAGACCAATGTGGGGTCCAATACCGCCACGTCTGGTCTAACCAGTGAGGTCACTACGGAAGGGAGGAGTGGTGACGCATGCTCCCCTGACGGGTCACACTTGTCTCTTCACCTCGTCACGGACAT